AACTATGCTACTGTGGGCAAGTTACTTTTTAAGCTTAAAGTGATCAAAGTTAACACTGCCAGTAATTAGACATATTGGCATCTCATATCCCCTGATATGACACACTGATAAGGGCATATCACCTCTGTGATATTATTGTCCCAAATTCATAACCTTTATCTAATTAAGAGAAAACATAGGCCAAACTCAAAGTGAAGAGTGTTCTACAAAATAATCAGTTTTTTAAAAAAGAATCAAGGTCATGAAAGACAATAAAAGACTATGTAAATGCCACAGATTGGTAGAGAATAAGGAGACATGACAAATTAATGTAGGATCTTAGATTAGATCCTAGAACAGAAAAAGAACATAAGTGAAGAAAATGGTGAAGTTTATACTTTACTTAATAGGTCTGTAGTTTACTTAATAGTACTTTATGAATGCTAATTTCTTGGTTTTGCTAATTGTTTCGATTATGTAAGCTGTTAAAATTAGAAGTTGAGTGAAGAGATACATGAACTCTATGTATTATTTTTACAACCTTTCTGTAAGTGTAAAATTATTTTAAAGTAAAATGTTAAAAAACAGGTTAAAAAGGCCAAGGACATTTGATGAGATGGGATGATGGGGGAAAGATAACTGCCAGGATATCTATGCATGGGTTGCCTCTCATTAATTTTGCTTGAGGCATGATGAATTCTTTTTTGATTTGTAAATTCAAGTCACAGTGTTTTTGTTTTTGTTTTGCTGTTAAAATTTCTGCACATTCTTTTCGTTCCATTTATTCTGTATTCTTTTCTTGAGAATTACTATTTTTTGGTTGGACCTGTCTCTCTGCTCTCTCTATTCTAGCATTTTATCTCATCATTTCATCTTTCATGTTATTGTCTTTTACATTCTGGAAGAATTAAAAATATCCTTCTCTATCAAGGATTTCATTTTCTTATGTGACTACTGGCCCATTATGACAAAGGCAAATATGATTCTTTCCATCATGGCAATAGTTTTTGGACAGTATTTTCTTACACTAGCCAGCAACCATTTCATTTTTCCTATTTTTCAGTTTGCAATTGTTTTTAAAAGATCTATTACTGAGAATATGGGATATATCTTAAAAATTATATTTAATTTCCTCTCATACATATGTTCTTATACATATATACATATTTATACTATTCATCCTTGCCTTCAATGTAGTGCCATATTCAATTTTTTTCACAGAATCCATATAATATAAATATATACTTTTCTGTTTACTCATCCTTGAATGGGGATCTACCCATGACAATTAGAACTGGTGTCACAAACACTTGATTCTCCTTACTGTGCTATGTCCCCTCTTTTAGATTTACATCAAAAAAGAGGCTTGGTGGACACAGAACCTACACAATTTCTAATGTCTAAGTGGATGAGCATTTATTGCTCCTCCTGCTTCATTCTTTATGAGTAAAAAACTTATTCTAGAGAATCTGAGGCTGTCTATTGTTTGACTATGTATAGCATACATGAAAATTTATACCCTCCTTATATATTCAGAGCTACAAAGCACCAGCTTTTCCTGCCTCTGCTCTCTAGATTACATTGCTTTATACTTGTCCTTCCTAGGTTTTTCAGAATACAACACAATTTTAGTCTCTAAATTGATTTACAAGAAGTATTAATGATACTCAAATGAGGAAATGGTTGGGAAAAAGATACTGGTAGTGGAATCTTTTTGTGAAGTAGAGATAGTTGCTAATTTTTAGGTAAGTGCACGCTCCGGGCCTCTGAACTAGAAGCAGATAGTGGTAGTAGTTCAGATCCCTCTCCAATTTATTTCTGAATCACACTTTGTAGACCACTACTTGTGTTTTTCATTTAAGTCCAATCAGTCCTTTAACTAGAAGAAATTCCTTATAGCCTGGGCAAGTGGTTAAATATGATCCTTAATAGCTGTATGTTTTCATCGATTGTTAGTAGACATGGGAGTTAAATAAAATAGACATTGAATTTAATCCATATGAGAACAATTTTATTAGATACTTATATTAATGCAAAAATGTAAAAACACTGTAAGAAAACCGAAACACTTTAGAATTCTCCACTCATACCCTTCATACCTTGGGATTTGATATTTATCTTAGAAATATAATAGTTCATATACCCAGAAATACAGATTTCCCTTTTGTTCCTTCCTAGTCTAATTCAGTGGGATAATTTTGACGTTATGTGGTTTTGCTTTTTTTGACTTTAAAACTTAATTCTCTTTTTTTTCTTTTTCAAAATTACAGATGGGGTCTCGCCATATTGCCAGGCTGGCCTCAAACTCCTGGCTCAAGTGATCCTCCCGCCTTGGCCTCCCAAAGTGCTGGGGTTCAGGTGTGAGTTACCACACGTGGCCTAAAACTTGTTTCTGTGTGAGATGTTACTGCTGAATTAGGGAATGATGGCCCTAATTAGTATCATATTTATCTAGTTACCTCTATATTGGTCTGTTTTGTATTTACTCGTTTTTGTATTTGATTTGACAGAGTATGTAAGCTGTGGCTTACAGTCAATGAGTAATTTCTGGTAAACAGTACTTCACAGCAGTTAGACTTGTGCTTCGAACTCTGCATAAGGTTTCTATTTTATGGAATAGATTTGTTGCTTCAAGATAGTTTTGACATCTGAAATTCCTACTTTGGGATATCCTCGATTAACATTCATAAAGTTGTAATCATTAGAGTTTTAAAAATGAGTTTTACACTTATAAAAACAACAACTCTTCCAAAGAATATTTCCACCTTTCTATTTTAAAAGTCACCAAGATTTTTGGTACTAGAGAAAATTTGCATTGGAAGTAAAAAAAGGCTAATGTTTCAAATGTCATTCACTAATATTTTAATATTAGTAATATGTTCTAGAAAAAGATTGTTTTGTAATGTAGAACAACATTTGTATATTAAGATTTCCATGTTATAATACAAATGCACTATAAATAAAAATAGATAATTTGCCACATAGTAATACATGCATATTAAAGCATTTCTACAGCATTATACAGTTCTAGAAAACTACAGAAGTGGTTTTGGAGTTTCTGTCTCTGAGTGGGGCATCATTTTGTATTGAGGGTCACTAAATCACCTAAAGAAAAATATTGAGTATAAAATGCATAGAACATTTAACCTTAAAAAGTAAAAATGAGAAAAACAAAATTCTACATAATTGTCTTGTGTTTCAGTTTTGACTTTGGAAGTCTATTTTTTTTGTCTCTAACAAAAGAGGAATTGGTAATTATTATTATTTTTTAATTTTAGAGATCTACATGGTCCCACTCTGTTGCCCAGACTAGAATGCAATGGCGTGATCATAGCTCACTGTAACCTTGAAACTTTGGGCTCAAGTGATCAGCCTGCCTCAGCCTCCTGAGTAGTTAGCACTATAGGGGTGCACCACCATGCTTGGCTAGTTTTTAAAATTTTTATTTTGTAGAGGCATGGTCTCACTATGGTCTCAAACTCCTGGCTTCAAGCAATCCTCCTACCTTGGCCTCCCAAAGTGCTGGGATTACAGGCATGCCCCACCACACTTGGCCAGAATTGGTAATCTTTATATGACTATATTGAAGAGTAAGATACCAGTTTCTCCGTACAATTTCTGATGTTACCTAATCACAGATCTAAGAAAATTTAGAGAAATATATACTCTTAAGCTAGAAGAATTAAATTTTAAGAACGTTTAACATTAACATCATTTGGAAATTTCTCCTATCCAAATACCACCCACCACTCCATCCTCTATTCAAAATATTCAGTTTGTATAATTGTATAAATTATACAATTTCCATCACTTGTGATACAGCTCTCTCTCAGTAACTGAAAATAACTATCACTTACATAATATGGCACAGCAATATCAGCCATTTCTGCAGAAGTATATTTGGAGTAAATGTTAATGACAGAAGAAGTTTGTTTTAGATATTCTAACAATACTAAAAATGAAGCCTCTATAAGTAATGTTTAGTAACACTATAGGTTTTGACAATATGTCAAAATTATTGTTTTATTTCATGTTTGGTGTATAGTGGTAAAGTCAATGAAGGGATGCAGTGAGTGGTAATGGCGGTGAGTGGTAATGGGGTGAAGGGACACGAGAAGATCGGGAGGTTCCTTAAAGTAGACTGTCTTGGTATTGAGTTCAACGCATAGGATGGGCCAGAACATAAATATGAGTGTGAAATAGCTAATATCCATTATTTTAATGCAAAGACCATGCCTATCTTCCTCACCAAAGTACACTGTATACAGAATTCATATTACCATCTCAACAGTTGCTCTTTACTGTAGATAAAGTTCATTTCCTTAAAGGGATGATGCAAGAGTTTCACTAAGAAACTTGTTCATGAGGGAATAGGAAGAATTCCCTGCTACATAGTAGATAGTCAAAATATATTGAGGATATACATGGGTATAACTAGATTATCATTCTTTGGCCTGAATCTGACTAAGAAGGCATGAATATGATTCCCAAACTGGAAGAGGAGATCATTAATTGTTTTCATCTCCCCATAAATGTCACATGTCATCAACGTAGATAATAAAAATCAGACTACTGTATATTAAATATCTAGAATAGGCAAATTCATATAGATAGAATATAGATTACAGGTTACCAGGGACTAGGGGTTGGGAAGAAGCACGAAGGAGGAGTTTTTGCTTAATGGGTGCAGAGTTTCAACCTGGGGTGAGGAAAATGTTTGGAAACAATGGTGATAGTTGCATAGCATTGTGAAAGTAATTAATGCCACTGAATTGCACACTTAACAATGGTTGAAATAGAAAAATTTTAAGTTGCATATGTTACCACAACAAATAAAAAAATGACCATTATAGTTAATTTAGAATTATGTTTCCTTCACACGAAAGAATTTGCTAATTCTGTACTTCTGATCACAAATATGACGTAAATATCCAAAGTTGTTCCTTTCTAGAAGAGAAAGTTGGAAAACTTGAAATACAATGGAAGAAATACAGAGTAAAAAGTCAAAACAAACTTCTTACTTTAATTGGTTCAGGCTGCATCACAGGCGCAGGCATACTGATGGCACTTGGAGCATAAACCTGGTGATATGTTGCTTGAACTCCATGATCAGAATAAGGCTATTACAAAAAAAGAGAGAAAAAATATCACCTTTCATTTATTAATTCAAAATATTTACTCAGCATTTACAATATACTAATCATCTAGCTATACAATGTAGAAACAGTTAAAAACACATTCCCTTATGTTTAATTTTATAATCTGATGAGTTAATATAATGAATTAGCTTATAATCTGATGAGGGAAATAGTAGTCAGAATGATCATAAGTTCTATAGACACATATAGGGATACAATAGGCAAGGGAAGAGATTATGTAAATGCAGTTATAGCTTGTCCAGCAGATGGTGGTACCATTCACTGAATATAGAACACAAGGAAAGCTCAATACTCATGTAATTGTGTGTGAGGGGTTGGAGAGAAGGAGTTAGGTTTGTGATATACAAAATTTGTGGTATTTGTAGGAATTCTAGTAGAGGTATACTGTTGATAGATGTGGCTCTAGACCAGCACTGTCAAATAGAAATATAATGTGAGCTACATATGTTATTTAAAATTTTCCCATTGTCATGTTAGAAAAGTAAAAAAAAAAAGGTTGAATTAATTTTTAATAATGTCTTTTATTTAAACTAATACATATTAAATATTATCATATAAAAGTACAATCAATTTAAACATTAGCAAGATGTTTTACATTCTTTCTTCATGCTGTGTCTTGAAAACCCAGTATGTATTTTACACTTAGGGGACATCTCAATTCTGTCTTACCACATTTCAAGTGCTCAATTGCCACATGTGGCTAGTGGCTATTGTAGTGGATAGTGCAGTCTAAAACTCAGGAGTGAGACTGGGGCTAGATATATGGCTAGGGATGATAACATCAGAGTGAGTATATGTGGTGAAAGAATGGAGAACCAAATATGAAATCTGCTTAAAAAGGAAAACAAAAGGAGGTAAAAGCATTGCCAGAAGAGAGTAGTATTATGGAAACCAAGGGTAGGAAGAGTTTTAGAGAGTAGGTACAATGTCTCTGGGACGTCAAATAAGATTAAAAAGAAAGGAAAGTTTGTGTCGGTTAGAAAGTCATTGAGGACCTTTACCCAATGCAGCCTCAGCAGAAAGGTAATGAAGTAGACTTCAGCAGGTGAGGAGTGAATGGGTAGTGAAGTAGCAGAAATTCTGAATGTAAACTACTTTTTCTAGAAGCTTGGCTTTGAAAGGTAGCAGAAAATTAGGGAATTGGTGGGAGTGTGTGTCACAGGATAATATTGCCTCTTACAAGGTGCTGGGCACTATACAAAGAACCTTGTATACCATATCTCTAGTCTTTAGATCAATCCTGCAAAATAGTTTTTCCTGATGTCCTCATTTTACAAATAAGGAAATTATGAAAGCAGGACTATGAAGGGTTAAGTAATTCCTCAAAGTAACACAGTTAGTAAGTGGTGAAGCTGTAAACCAATGGAGAGAAGAAGACTTCAAATACAAGAGAGAAAAAGAACAGTAGATGGAATGAGGTCCCTCAGGAGGAGGGAACTGATAGCAAGTGATAACAACTAGACTGCAAGAGGTAGAAATAACCTTGGACAAGACTGAATGTCACTAAATAAATATAAGAAGCTAAGGATGAGTTAGGATACAGGTAAGTTTGTGTTTCAGGGGTTGGAGCCTGAGTTGGTTTTCACAAATTGGTTCTTTCTTACTCTGCAAAACAGAAGGCAAAGCTATATTCTCAGAATGACATGGGCAGGTGGTGGAGTGGGTGCAATCTGGTAGTACTGGGGACTCGGCAAAAGTTTAAAATAATCATTGAAATAAGTGAGTGAAGATGGTTACTTTTTTTTTTTTTAAAAGGAAATCTGACTATAACACTCACAAGAAAAGTCCTGAAGTTCTTAATTTTAGGGAAAAAAAACACTTCAACTGTAAACCATCCCACTCTATTCATTAAGTTATATATTAGTCAGACTATACCCGCTACTAGAAACAATACCAAAACAAAAACACGCAAATATTTTGTATGGAAATACCACACAAAGTACAAGTTTTAAGGTAATGATGAGCAATATTTTCAGAAAAGCTTTATTAGATTCCATTAAATAGTGCATATATTCTGATGGTAAGTATCTGATATCAGGAATTAAAAATATGATCTAATGCCAAAAGAGATTCTGACAAAAAATCAAATGTAAAACCATTCTTATCTCACTACCTGTCCTTGCAAACCAGAAAACAACAAAAAGAACAAAATATAGATTTTTAAAATGCCATCATCAATTAAAGAAGAAAATGCCTATGACTCCCAAACTATACACAATGTAGAATGTCTGCCAAGTGCTGCGCAAGTTGGACCAACATAAGGGAGGATTCTGAAGCCTCCTTAGGCTTCAGAAAGGATAAAGATTTCCCTAGAGGTCGATGTTCTGGAAGACCTCCTCAGAGATACTTTAGAGTCTTGAGTGCAGAAGTATGTACTGGTCAGGGTGAGGTAGAAGCACAAAATATCTCCACAGAGACCCTATTAATAATTAGGATAATAATTAAAATAATTAATAATCCTGACTTAATAACAGGGGAGGCAGAACTGATGGATACATCATGTTTCTACAATTTTTCTTGTCTACTACCTAGCCTGAGGAATACTACTGCTGGAGGTGAAGCAGGGGGAAAGTGGCAAAGGAAGTAGCAATTGCCACATCCCAATACAGAACCCCTGTGATAAAAAGGGCTTTACAAGGAACAAAAATGATCTCTGGCAAGGATGTGGAGGAAAGGGAATCCTTGTACACTGCTGGTGGGAATGTAAATTAGTATGGCCATTTTGGAAAATAGTAGGGTGGTTTCTCAGAAAATTAAAAATACTATCATGTGATCTAGAAATTCCACTACTGTGTATACACATCCAAAGGAAATGAAGTGAGTATGTTAAAGAGATATCTGCATTTCCATGTTCACTCCAGCATTATTTATAATAGTCAAGATATGGAACCAACCTTAGGCTCCATCAATCGGTGAATGGATAAAGAAAATGTAGTACCTATATACACAATGGAATACTGTTCAGCCTTAACAAAGAAGGAGATCCTGTCATTTATGACAATATGGATGAACCTGGAGGACATTATGCTAAGTGAAATAAGCCAAGCACAGAAAGACAAATACTACATGATTTCATTTATATGTAGAATGTGAAAAAGTTGAACTCATAGAAGCAGAGAGAAGAATGGTGGTTGCCAGGGGCTGGGGATGGGGAGTGAGATGGGAGATGTTGGTCAAAGGGTACAGAGTTTCAGTTCTAAAGGAAGAATATGCCCTGGAGATCTACTGTATAGCCTGACTATAGTTGATAATAACGTATTATATACTTGAAAATTGCTAAGACTTAAGGTACCTTCAACGTTCTCACCGCAAACAAAAAAAAGGATAACCATGTGAGGTGATGGATGAGCTTGATTGGGGTAATCATTTCACAATATGTACATATATCCAACCATCATGTTAGACACTGTAAATGTATACCATTTTTCGTTATTTACAATTTAGTAAAGTTGAGGAAAAAAAGAAAAAAGCAACCATAAAAAAATAGGTGGGGTAGGCCGGGGTGCAGTGGCTCATGCCTGTAATCTCAGCACTTTGGGAGGCTGAGGTGGGTGAATCATGAGGTCAGGAGATGGAGACCATCCTGGCTAACATGATGAAACCCCATCTCTACTAAAAATACAAAAAATTAGCTGGACTTGGTGGCACATGCCTGTAGTCCCAGCTACTTGGGAGGCTGAGGCAGGGGAATCACTTGAACCCAGGCGGCAGAGGTTGCAGTGAGCCGAGATAGTGCCACTGCACTCCAGCCTGGGTGACAGAGTGAGAGTCCATCTCAAAACAAAACAAACAAACAAAAATGGGGGGGCATGAAACAAACAATAAAGAAATCCTAGTAAAAGTATTGATAGTAAATATTAAGATCCAACTGTGGAAATTATTGTTTCAGAACAAAATTATGTATTACAAAAGTAATAAAACAATGGACTTAAATTGGGAGGTAAATGCTAATTTCATAATCTTTAATGACACTGATTTAAGACATACTATGCCCATGGTACTGGTACCAAAACAGACACAGATCAATGGAACAGGATAGAGAACTCAAATAAGACCACACATATCTACAACCATCTGATCTTCAACAAACCTGATAAAAAAAAAGCAATGGGAAAATAATTCCCTGTTTAATAAATGGTGCTGGGGAGGTCCAGGGCAAGATGGCCAAATAGGAACAACTGTGGTCTGCAGCTTCCAGTGAGACCAATGCAGAAGGTGGGTGATTTCTGCATTTCCAACTGAGGTACCCAGCTCATCTCACTGGGACTGGTTAGACAGTGGGTGCAGCCCATGGAGGGTGAGCAGAAACAGGGTGGGGTGCTGCCTCACTGAGGAAGCACAAGGGGTCAGGGAACTCCCTTCCTCAGCCAAAGGAAGCCATGAGGGACGGTGATATCTGACCCAGATACTATACTTTTCCCATGGCTTTTGCACCCGCAGACCAGGAGATCCCCTTGGGTGCCTACACCACCAGGGCCCCGGGTTTCAAGCACAGAACTGGGCGGCCATTTGGGCAGACACTGAGCTAGCTACAGGGTGTTTTTTGGTTCGTACCCTAGTGGTGCCTGAAACCCCAGAGAGGCAGAACTGTTCATCCCCTGGAAAGGGAGCTGAAGTCAGGAGCCAAGTGGTCTTGCTCAGCAGATCCCACTTCCATAGAGCCCAGCAAGCTGAGACCCACTGGCTTGAAATTCTTGCTGCCAGCACAGCAGACTGAGTCAACCTGGGACACTCGAGCTTGGTGTGGGGGACGGGTATCCACCATTACTGAGGCTTGAGTAGGCGGTTTTCCACTCACAGTGTAAATAAAGCCACCAGGAAGTTTGGACTAGGCGGAACCCACCTCAGCACCACAAAGCCACTGTAGCCAGACTGCCTCTCTAGATTCCTCCTCTCTGGGCAGGGCATCTCTGAAAGAAAGGCAGCAGCCCCAGTCAGGGGCTTATAGGTAAAACTCCCAT